TATGGTGAGTCTTTATAACCAAATATGGTGAGTCTTTATAACCAAGTATGGTGAGTCTTTATAACCAAATATGGTGAGTCACTATAACAAAATATGGTGAGTCTTTATAACCAAATATGGTGAGTCTTTATAACCGAGTATGGTGAGTCTTTATAACCAAACATGGTGAGTCTTTATAACCAAGTATGGTGAGTCTCTATAACCAAATATGGTGAGTCTTTAAAACCAAGTATGGTGAGTCTTTATAACCAAGTATGGGGAGTCTTTATAACCAAATATGGTGAGACTTTATAACCAAGTATGGTGAGTCTTTATAACCAAGTATGGTGAGTCTTTATAACAAAATATGGTGAGTCTTTATAACCAACTATGGTGAGTCTTTATAACCAAATATGGTGGGTCTTTATAACCAAATATGGTGAGTCTTTATAATCAGATATGGTGAGTCTTTATAATCAGATATGGTGAGTCTCTATAACCAAATATGGTGAGTCTTTATAATCAAATATGGTGAGTCTTTATAACCAAATATGGTGAGTCTTTATAACCAAATATGGTGAGTCTTTATAACCAAATATGGTGAGTCTTTATAATCAAGTATGGTGAGTCTTTATAACCAAATATGGTGAGTCTTTATATCCAAGTATGGTGAGTCTTTATAACCAAATATGGTGAGTCTCTATAACCAAGTATGGTGAGTCTTTATATCCAAGTATGGTGAGTCTTTATAACCAAGTATGGTGAGTCTTTATAACCAAGTATGGTGAGTCTTTATAACCAAATATGTTGGCTCAATATATAGATCTGTTGTGTATTTTATTATACAGTAACAACTGTTTCAGGCACAAACAGTCTGTGTATTGGTGTTGTTTTATGGCCATTGACAATTTGAATCATTTAGGGGCAAACAGCATTTCAAAAAATTACAATTATTGTATCAGCATGCAACATCAATTAAAGAGGATTTCAGCAAAACCATTTTGATTGCAATGTGTATAAACGAGTAATGGCCATTCTTTCTATTTGATTCAGGCAAGTAAAATTTGGTTTCATGACAAAGGTTTTATAAGTTCTTGTCGTAACCTGGATTCAGGTTTTTAATCACTTTAACTAACCTGTTTTTCTTGGGAGTTTTCCTTAATTCTTCAAAATTCTTTGTTAGCTGAAACTTAGTACTCCGCATGTTGTTTCCAAAGTACTCATTTTGTTTTATATCCAACTGAAAAGTGGAAACAAACATTACAGCTCTTTATAGCTTCATTGACATCTCTTTATACTGTCATCAGTTACCTATTGTCTAACAGAATGAAGGTTATCTGGCAATTTATCAACAATATTACATGATGGATTCCTTACAAGTAGCCTCCGTATCATCAATATTAACTCCATAGAGCATCAAGTAACATACATCACAGGAACAGTGTATACCACGTTATAAGGTTACATACATCACAGGAACAGTGTATACCACGTTATAAGGTAACATACATCACAGGAACAGTGTCTACCAGGTTATAAGGTAACATACATCACAGGAACAGTGTATACCAAGTTATAAGGTAACATTCATCACAGGAACAGTGTATACCACATTATAAGGTAACATACATCACAGGACCAGTGTATACCACGCTATAAGGTAACAAACATCACAGGAACAGTGTATACCAAGTTATAAGGTAACAAACATCACAGGAACAGTGTATACCATGTTATAAGGTAACATACATCACAGGAACAGTGTATACCATGTTATAAGGTAACATACATCACAGTAACAGTGTATACCAAGTTATAAGGTAACATACATCACAGTAACAGTGTATACCACGTTATAAGGTAACATACATCACAGGAACAGTGTATACCATGTTATAAGGTAACATACATCACAGGAACAGTGTATACCACGTTATAAGGTAACATACATTACAGGAACAGTGTATACCACGTTATAAGGTAACATACATCAAAGGAACAGTGTATACCATGTTATAAGGTAACATACATCACAGGAACAGTGTATACCAAGTTATAAGGTAACATACATCACAGGAACATTGTATACCAAGTTATAAGGTAACATACATTACAGGAACAGTTAAAAGGTAACATACATCACAGGAACAGTTATAAGGTAACATACATCACAAGAACAGTGTATACCATGCTATAAGGTAACATACATCTCAGGAACAGTGTATACCACATTATAAGGTAACATACATCCTTAACTCTCAACAAAACACAAGTATAACTTGTAAGGTGTACAGTTGATGCTATTCTATGTGATCTGATGGTGGTTGGCTATATATAGTTGATGCTATTCTATGTGATCTGATGGTGGTGGGCTACAGTTGATGCTATTCTATGAGATCTGATGGTGTTGGGCTACAGTTGATGCTATTCTATGTGATCTGATGGTGGTTGGCTATATATAGTTGATGCTATTCTATGTGATCTGATGGAGGTGGGCTA